TTAAACCATGGCTAGCCATGTGGGAATGTCCAGTGCCTTGACCACCATGCCACCTGCTGGGCCCTTTTTTGTAAAAATTTTAAAGAATTATTTAATTTTATTGAGAACCAGTAGATGGCATAATGTTTATAATGCTTGACTCTCACATAATCAACCACGATTCAAGTACCAGACCTGGTGGTTTAAGCTCACACCAGAGGTATGTGCATATGTGCCAAAAATCCCGAGAGGAGAATGAAGGAGAAGGGATTGCGGCATGGCCAACCCCCTGGAGGGGGGAGTGATTTCTTGATTTCTGTCTGTGTCTGTCTCTCCTGCGAGCTCATGCACCCTATAGCAAAAACTTCTCTTTAACAAAATTTTTAAAATAAAAATAAAAATAATTTTATTTATTTATTATTTTTTATTTCATCAGAGAAAGTGAGAAAACAAGTAACCAGGTCTGGGACTCAAACCATGGTCAGCCATGTAGGAGTTGAGCACCTTAACCACCATGCCACCTGCTGGCCCTTTGGTTAAGTCTTTTACCCATATTTTAAATTGGAATTTTTTTGTTTTCTTCTTAGAGTTGTGAGAGTGAACTCATACTTGCATGCTGAATACCATTCTGTCAGATATGTGTGATTTCAAATGTTTTTCCCATGGCTTTTTCTTTGTCTTTATATTTTCATAACTATTTTATGAGTGAAAATTTTAAATTTTGATGAAATCTAAAATATCAGATTTTTTTGGATCATACTTTCTGTGAATATTTGCAAAATCTTTGCCTAACTAAAGGTCAGAAATATTTTTATCCTATGCTTTCTTCTAGGAGTTTTATAGTTTGAAGTTTACATGTAAGTTTGTGATCCATTTTGTATTGATTTTTGTATATGGTATTACTGTTGATATTTATAAAGCTCTCTTATACATATGCTATATCTATAATTATATCTGATCATCATTAAACATTTTTTTGAGGAAAGTACAGCAGAAATTTTAATCCCTATTTCACAGATGAGAAAATTGAGGATTAGAGGAGTGCTGTATGACCTCAAGCTCCCACAGCTGATAAAAGTTGAAATTGCAAGGTAAAAGGTGAAGCTATGATGAAATTCTAGGTCTCCTGATGTCCTAGGCAAGTACTTTTGGAGCCAGGAAGCTAGGGCTCAGAATAGGGTCTTAGAAAAGCAAAGATTTCCAATGGGAAGCTGAGCAACCTATTTGGTACTGAGGTAAGAGATACAGTGGGTGAACTAACCCTAACTTCCTCAGTCTGCTCTCTTCTGGCCCACTTGGGGCTACACAATTGAAGAGAGCCATAAGCTAACCCAGCCCACTGCTCAGATGACACTCAATGAATGCATTTTGATAATGACGAAGACTTGGAATGTGTTCAGACATCTCTGAAAGTAATTACAAAGTTAGAAATTAAACCTAAGAAGGTAAGTTAAAGAAATTAAGATTATTTAGCCTAGAAAAGAAAGGTTCAAGATGAAACTTGCTAACAGCCTTCAAACAAAGTTTGGACTTTCCTTCTGAAAGCTGAGCAAGGGAAATGGGCTAGAAGAATCCAAGTATAATGGTAAATTTCGTTCTCTCCGGTGAGGATTATTATAGACACCTAAGAACCTTTAAAAACAGGATATGCTCTTCTTATTTGAGTTTAGTCAGATTTGCCAAACACGGACTCTGTTGAAGAATTTCTGCATGAGGATTTCATGACCCTCTTGAACAGTGTCCTTAGAAATCTTTGGGTGGGTTCTGAACCTGTTATGCATCCTAGTACAATTCAAGGGTTTTGTCTGTGGCTTTTCTTGCTCCTTAATTTTATTATCTTCACAGGATTGTCTAAATGACCTTAGCTTCTAAAAACTTAACCCCCCATGGTCCTTGTCCCTGAAGCCAAGTAGCTCAGTGTCTAAAACGCCAGATCTTAATGTCCCTGAAATAGCCCGAAATATCAGTTAATCTGAATTGCCCCCCCCCCTCCATGCTTGAATCCTATCTTTTATACCTATCCTCTGCTTGCATACATCTCTGACCATGAGGGACCAGCAAGCTGGCAGTACAGACCAATGCAGTGCCTGAAAGACTAGTGGAGAACTGAGATACCAACATCCCCATCAGGTACCATATTAAGTCAAAATGTCTTTGTGCTTTTTTTCTCTGCAGCATGGGTAGGAGCCCTTGCAATGGGCATGATCTTCTTCTGTTCTCCCATTGTGAGTATATTCACTGACCGGTTGGGCTGTCGAATCACAGCAACTGCGGGAGCTGCTGTTGCTTTCATTGGCCTCCATACCAGCTCCTTCACCAGGTAAGACTAGAGGTTGCTGGCCATTTCCCCAGGGGAGAGGGTTGGCTTCTTTCCGGATTTCAGCTAGGGACACTCTTTTCATTGCAGAATCCTCTGTGGCATGGCTATGTAGGGCCCTCAATGACTCTACTCTCAAGATTCATGATACAATGGGATTAATCTAAGCAGAATCCCCATGACATATTGATAGGGACTACCCCCAAAGAGGACCCAAGAGTTCCAAAGTGTTGGGAGGAGCCTAAGCCTGATGGTTCACAGAGGTGGCCCTAAGTCCAGTTTTGTCCAGAGAATGACTATGGAATAATTCATAAGTACCATTCCCCTCTCTGCGCCTCAATATCTATATCTGTAACATGAAGGGATTAGACCAGGTAGTCTTTTCAGGTTTCTTTCTGCTATGCCATTCTCTTCCCCTTCAGTGTACCACATATCTATCTCATGACCTCATCTTCCCTCCTGAAAATGAGCCCATGTGAACACCTAGCATTCTAGAATTCTTGAAGGACTCTTATATGGAATAAGAGGTCAGGTGATTCCAAGGATGTTTAGCATTTCTGGTCCCTTTCTGGGTGCCAACATATGGATGATTTAGGATAAAGATTTATGTCTTGGGCATGAGAACGATATTTAGATATTTAGAAGGATATTTACACCTTTACTGAGGCGTAGACCCAGAACCTAGCTACCCATGTAGGTTTAAGCTCAACTCTAGTTCCACTAGTCCCACTGATAGAACTTGTAGTGTCAGGTAAGGAACAGGTTACAAGTTCATTTTCTGTCCCCACCTTTTTTGCCAGCCCTGTAGAAATATGTGTGTAGGGGAAGGGAGAATAAAGACACTATACCACAGCTTGAAAGATATGGAATTTCTCAAGAACTTCATTGACTTTCTGCCAAAGGTACTTTGGAAGTTGTAGTACCTTCTACTTCCAAACTTTTTGGGCTGATGTAAGAGAGTGCCAGCCTAGAGACATAGAAATGGCCACAGTGACATGTCTGGAATGAGGGCAGAGCTAACTTGTCAGAGACTTGCTTTCTGAACTTGGCTCCTCAGAGATGGTCCGTGCTCCCTAGGCCAAAGGTTCCTCTCATAATGGAGAATGATATTGCATTCTGCCTCAACTGGACCCTGTGAGGGTGAGACAGCTTTCTTTATGACCTGAGCATTTCTGGCTGCCCAGCCTGCCTTGCAGCAGAGCTTGGATTTGGCCTGCAGTGATTCCTTGGCACCATTCCATCCAACTGGGACAGGGAAGAGGAAAACCATCTCCTGCATGGAACCTGGTCAGCTCTCCCAGGGCAGCAGCTCCAAACTTTTTCAGGACCCCTCTGGTGATTGGCCTCATTTGCACTCAGCAAGATGGTGCCTGGTTCTTTATGGGGAGGAGCTAGGCCTCAGAAGCAGCTCCAATATCAGTGTGACACAGCAGAGAATTGTTTTTAAGACTGAGCAAAGTGTAAACAAATTAGCAACATACGGATCCCATTTCCTTTCCAATTCACATGGGCTCAGTTATAGGAGCGGAAGGAGCTCAGATGTGGTGTTATCCTCTAGCACTGTTTTTCAGGCACATTGGAGTAGGTGTTCTGTTCTCTGGCCCCTAACTTCCACCCCACCACTTTTGCTCTTTCTATAAGAACATCTTCAGAGCCAAGAAATATTCTGGATGGCTTCAAATCCAGTGGAAAAGTGGTTCTGTTTGTGGCTAGAGCTCCAAGTCATCCTTCCTATTGTTTCAATCAGGGCTCTGAGTTTCTTTGGATGATGTAGAATTAAGCAGAGTACAGACAGGGCTGGCGAGGGGCTCTGAGTTTCTTGGGATGATGTAGAATTAAGCAGAGTACAGACAGGGCTGGCGAGGCTTTGGCAAGCTCAATTCAGGAGCTTCCTGTTCTAAGGCCCAGCTAGAAACAGATCCACCACACAGCACCCTGAGCTGGACCCATATTTTGTTCTCACCAGTCCTTTCTCTGAAGGTCTAATTCCTCTTTCTTAGAAAAGTCCCTAGCCTAAACCAATACCTAGAATCTAATGGGAACAAGTTCCAAAGAACCTGACAAAAGAGAAGCAGTTGGCTTAGCTATGTGTTCCAAATGGAGACAATCTTTTTGAAACCTGAATGCCTGCTCACTTTTAGTGACTTCAGGCAAATGGAAAGCAACAGTGACGACAGCTATTGTGGATTCATGGTTGTTAGCATCACATCATTTCTGTAGCATAGGCCCGGTCTTTTTTATTTGATGATTAGTTCTGTCTCTGGGAAAGAACTGCTTGACCAAGAAGAGTATTAGGTAACTAAGTGGTCAGATAAGAACTATTGCAAATTATGTGGAGTTATCAAAAATAAAACAAAATTCTGTTGGTGTATTGGCTATGTCGCTGGGCTCCCATGTAGTCAACTGTGGTTCGAGTCCTGGACCTGATGACTTAAACTCATGCCAGGTGCATATACATGTGTGTCTAAGATCCCAAGAGGAGAATGTAGAAGGGATTGTGGCATGGCCATCCTCCCTGGGGGGTGATTTCTCGCTTTCCGTTTCTTTGTCTCTCTCTTTCTGGTGCACACACATGCCCTATAGCACAAAACTCTCAGAAAAAAAATCTTCACTAGGTTGTGCCAGTATTATCTTGGAGCAGATAGTCTGCTAAGCTGTGCTTCCTATAGCCTTTCCTATAGCCTTTCCCCTTCTAACACTTTGCCTTCTGTTATAGAGGCTTATGGCCACAGCAAGGCCTAAGAGTTTTAAGCCAGGGCCTGTCTTACTTTGCCAGGCACACAACTTCTTTGGGTCTCCACTTTCTGTCAAGCAGCCAGGCTACTCTGGAGAACTAATCTATAGCATGTCCAGCAAAAGAGGTGGGACTCTGAAAGTTAAAAGGACTCTACCTCAAGAACTCTGTGGGGATCATCCAGGGCCTGAGGCAAAGGATCTATTAGTGGATTTTAGGCAGGGAAGGGTAGGGGATGTCACTGAGGAGATCTATCAGCCACTGAAATACTGAGAGCCCTGAGCGTGAAGAAAAACACTATAGAGTCCTATGCAAGGTCTTATTCTTCCAGGATCTTGGCTCCTTGCAGACCTTTGTTGTTGCTTAGGATTAAACTTTGGTTACCAGCATGCCCGTGGTGTACAGATGAGCAGGAAAGTGAAACTACTCTCTCTAAGGCACTGACTCCCTGTAGCCCCTAATCTAGCCTTTGCATAAGCTAGTTTCAGCTTTCTTTTGGACAGCCCTTGTTGATGGGGTGCTATGAGTCATGGTACAGTTACATAGACCGGGATTCAAGTACAAACTTTGCTGATCCCCAGCTAGATTACTTTGGACTCTTTGAGCCTCTGTTTTTCCATCTTCAAAATGGGGATCAGAGGCCCTATTCTTTGTCTGCTTGGAAGTTCAGTGGCAAGTGTGGCTTTGAGTTAAGGTTGGAGGAAGGGAGGTCTTGGTGGGGGGCTGAAGGGAGGAGGACAGGTAGATTGATGGCCAGGCTGCTAAGGATAGCTCTTGGTGTCTCTCCCACAGCTCCCTAAGCCTGCGCTACTTCACTTATGGGATTCTCTTTGGTTGCGGCTGTTCCTTCGCCTTTCAGCCATCCCTCGTCATCCTGGGCCACTACTTCCAACGACGCCTGGGTCTGGCCAATGGTGTTGTATCCGCTGGGAGTAGCGTCTTCTCCATGTCCTTTCCCTTCCTCATCAAAATGCTGGGGGAAAAGATCAAGCTGGCCCAAACCTTCCAGGTGCTGAGTACCTTCATGTTTATTCTTATGCTGCTCTCACTCACCTACCGGCCCCTCCTGCCCAGCTCCCAGGACACCCCAAGCAAGAGGGGTGACCACACCCTGCACCAGCGCTTTCTGGCTCAGCTCAGGAAGTACTTCAACATGCGAGTATTCCGTCAGCGCACCTACCGCATCTGGGCCTTCGGAATTGCTGCTGCTGCCCTTGGCTACTTCGTTCCCTATGTACACTTGGTGAGGAATACCAGGGTGGGCCCATACACCACATGTTTCTAAGAAGCTACCCTCAACTTGCCTAGAATCCAGAGGGTGGGAGTGGAGGACATCAAAAGGGCAGAGCTACGACCTTTGGAAAAAGAAGCAAAAAGTGATTGGATAAAAAAAAGTAATTGGAGAGACCCAGATAGGGATGAGGAAGGAACTCAATGTAAAATGGGGGGAGTTCCTTAGAGGAAGGCCCATGGACAATGACTTCTCCCACTGTAAACATTTAAATAGATTTTTAGGAGAAGATAAGCATCATGAAGATGCAAGAGACTGACCTTTATGAGCCAAGATAGAATTTTCTAAGACTGTGTTCTGTGGAATGCCGGTCTTTGTCATGAAATTATTTCGTTTAGGAAATAACATATAGTAGATATCTCTAGCTTCAAAATATGTACTAATCTCTTAACAGTACTATAAAATTCTGCAGTTAAGAAACTCACTGACCAGCAGATGGTGTAATGGTTATGTTGCTGGACTCCCCACATAGTCAACCACAGTTCCAGTCCCGGACCTGGTGGCTTAAAAAACACACCGGGTGCGGGACCAGCAGTTAGCATCATGGCTCTGTCGA